ACGCAATCACTAAAGCAGAAGAACTTAAGCAAGATCTTTTCAAGAAATTTTATTTAGGATACTATTTTTTTACTTAAACACAAATAAAAACTTGAAAACATTATTCTCGTGATACAATGTTAATTGAAGAAGAACAAGATTGCATAATAAGGGTTTTCTCTATTATTAGTATCCTTTATGTTTTAGGGGCTAGTTATCCATAATTTAGGATTCGAGTCTAAAAACACCTAAATCATGTGCGTATGGCACGTTGAGACAAAGCAATTCATTATTATTTAAAAAAAAAACTAAATTTTTATAAATGAAAATTAAGGTACAAAAAATTCTTAAAAGCAATAATAACACAGAACAAAAGACAAAACTTCATAAAGTTTCAAAAGTAATTTTCGTGAAATTTTTTATTAAAAATAAACAAATAAAAATTTTAATGAAAATTGTTTAAAAAATTTATATAAAAATCAATAATATATAAAAAATAGTTAAAAAGATTATTTATAATTCAAATTCAATTATAAAAATTTTATTAATATTTTTATTAAAAATATTTATATAATAAATATATTAAAATTTAATAAAAAAATTTTAATTTTTATATAATTTATATGATGAAACTTTGTAATTTATTTATTTTTAATTTTAATTTATTTATTTTTAAAAAAAATTATAAATTTTATGTAAATTTTTTTCCAAAACAAAATAGGAGAGATAAAGGTGAAGGGCATGCTGTTATGTTTGACTAAGCTTTATCGACAAAAGGTGTGCCACAAACTTCGGAAATTAACGATGGCCATCAGATGATAAAAAGATGACGTCAATGCCCATTCAACCCAATGAAAAACACACACATGCTTGCACTGCCTTAATTAATTATTAATTAAAAATAAAATAATATTATAATTAGTCAGAAAGGCAACTGATCTAAAAATAGGCAAATAAAAGCAATAACATGAAAAATGAATAATATATCAATTTTATTGGATTCAGTCATATAATAATTCTTTTACAATATTCTTAAGCATAATTAAAAAAAAATTATACTAAAAATAATTAAAAAGTAAATATATTCATGAATATTCAGTTTAGATTCACTCTTATAATAAAAATTTTAGAATCCGCTTTCATTTGGACTTAAAATGTTAAATTATTAATAATAAATATTAGTAATTTAATTTTAATTTAAAGATATTAAATATAAAGATTTTAATAATTTTTAATACTTTAATATATATTACCGGGCATTAAACATGATCTTTAGAAAACTTATCGAACCTGACCCGATCCACCCCATAAACACGGCCCTTAAAAAGCTGTGAAAAAAGAAGTAGAAATATCTTCCATGTGCAACCTAAGGTCAAAGGACGGTGCCCAATTCCTGACATGTGTAAGCCTCTTCCTTCAATGTAAAGAAACCGCACAGTTGGAAACGTCGACCATTTCTTACATGATTGTGATTAGGGAGATCTTGGATTTATATTATATAAAATATTAAAATTTATATATTTATATTATATTTTATATAAAAATTATATATCATAATTTATATGATGTAAAATATAAAATAAAATTTTTATTTTATTAAATTTATTTTTTATTATTATTAAAATTTTAAATTATATCATTTTTATATTTTTATATTATATTATTATATTGTATTTTAAGTTATTCAAAATTAACTAACCACACAACTCTATTGAGCAATTTTCCTTTTTTTTTTTTAACTTATAATGAATTTATTATCTCAATAGAATTAGAAGTATATTTTTAAAGAATAAATTTGACATGCCTTTTTTTTAAGTTGCATATAAATTACACCTAAAAATTTATATCGAAATATCCACTCATAATTGATTATTTAGAGATATTTATATATATATAATTTTTGGAATAAATGAGCTTATATTCATCCAAAAATATCCTTTCCTCCATATTATTTTTGAAATAACTCAAAACTATATTCTTTTTCAATTTTTAAACACATACTCTTACTTTGGGATTAAAATCAAATTTATCACTATATTATTGGTCAATTTTAAATTTTTTATTTCAATTTACATGAATTTTGTTACTATAATCTCTATTATATTGATTTAAAAAAAAAAAAAAGCAGAGTTGATCAAAATTTGTCACTTGCATTAAAAAATATTTGTGAAATATTTTAATTGTATTACTTTTTGTTAAAAAATGAACAAATTGAAAATACAATGACAAAATTAATAAAAATTAAGTACAAAGACAAAATTCAATATTAACCATAATATATATATATATAGTGATAAGTTTCATCATAATCTCTTTTTATATATTAAATTTATTTTTCATAATATTTTTACTTTATAGGATTAAAAATTAATCACATAGGATCAATAATATACAAATACTAAAATAATTTTTTTTTTAATTTTCATGAAAATCAAATAGAAACAAAGAAAGTGAAACAAATTAAATTACGATTATGAAATTAACCCGTTCAAATGTATAAATCTTTATCTTTGATCTTTGTGTGTTGATGATGTTCCAATTAGTTATTGAAATTTTCTTACTTTTGGTAGTGATGACTATTTTTTTTTTTCACATTTGAAAATTAATAAAAAAAAAAAGTGAGATGAGAAAAGACATAAAGATTTATATATAACTAGAAAAAAATATATCACTTACAATTATTGTAATCCAATTAATTGATCATAATTTAATATTGTATGTGTTAGTTCAAGTGTAATCCAAGAAAGGGTGAATTGTATTGTCTCTATTTTTTTTTTCAAAAATTGATTTTCAATAAAAAAAATTAAAAATTGAAAATATAAAAAAATTATCAAGTCAAAGCACAAATAAACAATAATGAATATAAAAGAGTAGGGTTAAAGAAATTAAACACAAAAATTTATAGAAGTTCTCTTAGCATCACTTACCAAGAAATTCAGTCCACTACTTGAAAAATCTTTTACAAGAAGCAATCCTTATCTTTTGAAGACTTAGATAGCAACCATTCACTACCTTTCTAGGTTAAATAACAACCTCTAATTCTTTACCTTTCTAGATTAAGGTAACAACCTCTAATCATTTAAAATGATTTTTTACAAAAACTCTCAAAATCATTCAAGAGGATACATCACCTCTTGATTATAATTAAACTCTAATATTTTACAAACTAAAAACATCTCTCAAAGGTTTAGTATTTGTCAAATGAAGTATAAAGAATGATACAAGAAAGAAAATTTTAACTTGGATACAAGAATGTGAAGAATTAAAACTCTAATCTTAATAATGCTCTTAAATCTTGAGAGAATGAATGTAAAATTTATTAGTGCTTGCTCTCTTCTTTCTTTTTTTTTTTTTAATGGTATGTTGAAATGCCCAATTTATAGAGGAAATGAATTTGTAGCTATTAGAGATGGATTGGATAAGAAAATACCATTGAACATTTACAAAACTAGCTTTTTAAACTTGGAACAGTAAGAACCGGTCGATCTTATTTTAGATCTGATCAATTCTAGATGCTATTCGATAATCCCTTCTTGTAAGGGATCAATTCCTTTTGGCTCTTCTATAATCTCATGGCTTTTTGAACAAAAAATTGAACCATCTATTCCCTTAGGGGATCAATCTATTTGATTAAACCCTAGATTCGATCAATTCTTTATCATAAGAGATTGATCCATTTTGTAAAAATCGAACTTAAAAGATTTTTGTCTAAAAAACTAACCGATCCTATAACTCAGAGGATGGATCCATTTTGCCAAGGAATTGATCCTATCAACCAAAAGACCAATCCCTTCTTTCCAACTTTGCATAAAAATGTTTTCAAACAAGAAAAGAAGTTAGTTTTTTATCTTAAGACATTTTCCACTTGAAAAATAGTTGGCAAAACTTCTTTTTAAGTTCAAAATATTTTTCTAAGTTTTTCAAGTTTTAGCAAATCAAAAATCATTTTCATAAACATATTATATATTTTTGTGCAAAAATAATAAAATTTAAGAATATTGTACTAAATAAATCTTTAAAAAATTATAATTAAGTTTATTTAACTTAATATTTTATCATTTTAAAATAAAAATCAATTTAAGACCAATAGTATGGGACCTATTAAAAATTATGTAGTACCCACAATTTTAAGTGATAGAACTCTGCAAAAATTTTACTGCAATTGGTTAATTATAGTATTTTAATAAAAAAAATTTATAGGTGATATGGATTTGAAAAAAGCTATGGGTATATAAAAAATATTTATATATAAAAATTATTTGTCTTTTATTAATGCTTAAGTCAAAATAATGTATATTTATATTCATAATTTAATTAAGTTGTTTCCCATAATTACTTTTAATAAATAATATTTAATAAGTCTAAGATTCAAATATCATATATGTGATTTAATTGTTTAGTTATATTCTAATTTGTTAGTTGACTATTCAGTAATTATAATTTTATTATAATATAATAATTAATTATTCAATTGATTATATAAATATAATATTTAATTATAATTGTAATTTTTTAAAAATTCAATAATTATAATTTTTTATTTTAAGATTACGATTTTTTATTAAAAAATTAGTATATATATATTGTACGTAATGTATAGTACATCTACCTATACCAATTAGTTGATAATTCTGACTAAAGTATTATAAAGAAATGATAAGATTCAATTATTTTCTGTGAGCCTACAATGATCCATGAAAAGATGGGTTAAATTAGATTTTTAAAGTGAAAACTTAAACAAGAGTGGAGAATAGCCAAACCTACCTATTGTCCTTGACACACTCTCTCTCCCTTTCATAATCAACAGCACCAAAATATACACAAAAATAACAAAAAAAAAATCTAACACCACACACTCTTTCTTGTAAAAATAAAGCAAATTTTCTTAATCAAAACTCCCTTTTCTTCTCTCTTTCTTTTGAACTTTTTTCAGTGTAGTTTCATCCTCCTTGCTCATCATCTTCATCTTTTTCTTTCTTAATTTTTTCATTCTTGTTATTTTTCCAGTTAATTAATTCTTTATGTCGTCAAATGAAAAGAATGATCTACATCTTTACGATCCTTTCCAAGGATTCAACCGATCAACCTTTCCTTTCTTTGACGACAACAACCAAGGTGCTGCAGCTGCTCCAATACCAACACTAAAAGACTTTCAGGGCTTTGATCCTTCTTACATGAGCTTCACTGACTACTTACATGGCTCCGTCGACTACAACTCCCTTTCAAGAGCCTTCGACATGTCTTGTTCATCATCTGATGTTGTCAGTCCGATCCATGACAGTAGCAACTCCAAGAAAACTGGCACTGCAGATAATAATTCAGCAGGGAATAATATTAGTGAAAACCCATCCTCACCAAATTCCTCAGTGTCTAACGAAGAAGCAGCTGATGAAGATTCGAGCAAGAGCAAGAAAGATAAGCAGCCGGAAGGGGCTGAAGATGGAGATGACAAGTCAAAGAAATTGTAGGTTTTCTCTGCCTTTCTATGGAAAGAATTTCAAGTTATTTTCCTTTTCCATGTTCTTAATTTCATCATCAGCTTTTCCATTGACCAACGATAGCCGTTTTAGCCAGGGAGAAAATGAAAACACCAAAAAGTGAGGGAAAAGGAGGAGGCTACAAAAACCCTAATAATGCATGATAGAGATGACTTTTATGGAAAAAAAAATTACTAGTAATTCATGTACGCTATTGATGTTGAATGTGTTTTTGTATGTTAAATTTTCAGGAATAAACCCAAAAAGGAGAAACGGAAAAGAGAGCCAAGGATTGCCTTCCTCACCAAGAGTGAGATCGATCATCTTGAAGATGGATACAGATGGAGGAAGTACGGACAGAAGGCGGTCAAAAATAGCCCTTATCCAAGGTGTGGTTCTAGTCCATTCAAATTTCTGCACTTAATTTAGTCAAAATAATAGATTTAATTCTTGATTAATATCTTAATTAATTAGCATATGTACACCAAAATAAACAGTACATGTGTATTATCAAAATGATTATCATTAATTTGCTTAGAAAATTTAACTAGTCCAACTGATTAATGACCAATAAATTAAGCTGGTCCAGTTAATTATAGCTTTCTTTACCCTAAATGCATCTTCCCTGTACTTGCTAGACTCCTAGTTTCATCATTAATTCATATGTTGTCCTTAACACAGGTGATCGTTTAGTAGTCATTTGGGAAAATTCTTGTGAAATTTTGTTGATCAAGATGGTACTATGTGTATTTTAAATTTTAATACCTATAATTCTTTTTCTTATCTCTAGTCTTGAATCTCTTTTGTACTAAAAAAAGGGAAAATTTGTATTTATAATTAAGGTTACAAGGTACATATATATGTATATGCTCATAGGAAGTTAAATTTCTCCAAGAATAACTCTATTGTTGTGCAATGATTTGTAGCAATTGAAGAAGTTAAGAATCTATATTAACATTTGCAAGTAGTTTTCTGATCTGACAATCTCAATTTCTTATCACATTGTGCCGCTGCAGAAGTTATTACAGATGCACCAGCCAAAAATGTGGTGTTAAGAAGCGTGTTGAAAGATCATTTCAAGACCCATCGGTCGTGATCACAACATATGAAGGACGGCATAACCATTACATTCCGGTAACTCTTCGAGGCAATGCAGCTGGGATGCTTTCGCCTTCAATCCTTGCATCATCAGCATCAATGGATCGCCGCTTCCCTCTTGAATTCCTAAGTCATTTCCTTCCATCAACAAGCAATAATCCAACAGGAGATACAAACTCTATACACTATCAAAGCCTTGCCCCTCACCAGCAGCAGCTTCAAGTTCCTGATTATGGCTTATTGCAAGATTTAGTTTCTTCCTTCAAGCGCAGGCAGTCACCATGAACTCTAAACCGATATATCCCTCTCCTTGAATTAATATGAATGAACTGATACAAGTATGGCTCACTTGGAGCATTAATTATCTCTGACTAGCTGGAATTGATGTACATTCTTCTTCATCTTGCAACATTATTCTTTATTTTAAGAAAATTAGGGTCTGACAATGTTTAATTAAGTAATTGTGTTTGTATGTATCTATGTATGTATGTATAGCATGCCTAATTTAACATCTTTGTTTGTCTTTATGGAAGGCCAATATTCAATTAATTTAAAACACTTTTAAAGACTAAAGTTTTCAGATTTGAATTTTGGTAATTGAAACTAAGAATCTAACACATATCATCATATATGTTAATTTGTTTTTTTTTTTTTTCAGCTCATGAGTCATGATAATGAAATTGATATTTTCAACAAAAAGTTCGAATTACACACAAAAGACTAGTATTTTAATTATACTGCTTTGTATGAAATGGGGCGTGGTTAGATATATACGCACATATAGTCATAGCATTCTTATTGATTTTTCTTTTCTTATTATCAGAAAATTTTTCCTCTAAGAATCCCATAGAAGACATTTTAAAATGTTGGTTTGACAACAGAAGGGATACACAGATATAACATCATTGTCTATACTCTATTATACTGATTAATTCAATAAGATGGGTGGATTTTTTGGCTGTACTATTTTATTCTGTTTATTTTATCTGCTAGAAAATATAGTGTTCAAATGTGTATATATATATTGAGCGACTTGTTCAAGTCAAAGGGCCAGTGACGTTCACCTAACTCTCCTTTTTTTTTTTAATACTAAGCATTCAGATAGGTAGGATTTAGATTAAATACAAAAGAAATCCTTTCATATATATATATATATATATATATATATATAACAGAAATTAAGGTTGGATTAAATTATTTGCATGAGAATCCAAACCACTTCCTAGTAATGGACAAAAGAACATAAATTCTCAAACTGTTCACACTTAACTGTGCTCTTGTTTTTTGAGAACTTCAATTTTTTAGGTGCGGCCTGTTGCTAGATGTGGCCAATTCCAAACCCAGAAACCGCCCAACTTGCCCAAAGTTAAAACTGATGCGGTTGACATTGATTATGGAATTAATAGTGTTAACGATGACCTTGAACAAGGTTTTCAGTTACGGCGGACAATTTGTTTTATGTTCATGATCAGTTTTAATTTATTAATTTGTTGGTGGCAACATCGGTTTTCTGTTCAATATGACAAGAAAAAAAAAATGGTCCGACTAGTTTTGTGTGTTTATTAAGTAGTGTTATCGTTCATTGATTAAATATTGAATTTTTTATGTTAAATTTCTTTATTTATTATAGATTGATTTTAAATTAAATACTTCTTATGGCTGAATAGATTGTATGTTTGTTATTATATTGCTTGCTGATATGTGTTTTCCCATGTAGTAGGTTCATTTGTTAGTAAATTATGATGTTATTCCATATTGATTGAGTTTCTTGTAACTTCTTCCTCTATTGCTTAATGTGTAAAAAAAAATTTTCTAAATTTTAAATTTTGGATGCACTCTACATTGCCTTCTACTAACTGATAGTGGGTAACAAAATGGGAAGCGGCCTTCTCTCATACTCATAAATCTTATCTTGCCACTAGATATAGCAATTGGATGGATAGGTTAATCCTATTTCGGGTTAAATCATTTTTGGGTGGAAATAAATTTTGTAAAGTTTCGATTTCTAATTATTCAAGTTATTTGAGTTCTAGTTATTGAGTTAATTTGATCGATTTTAAATTTAATTTATTAAATTTTAAAATCAAATCAATTTAAATTTAATCATTTCGAATTAATTTTTTAAGTTATTTAAATATAAATTGATTTAGACTTAAATCGAATTTAAATTATTGACTTTTTCTTATCAAATCAAATTAAATTGTATGGATGAGATAGATTTTTTGGTTGGGTATGCAATGTCAACTCTATCATTTATTTTAAGATTCCAACACAAGATTTCAAAATTAATTTTTATTTTGAAATTTTTAATCTATTCTTAAGTCTCTTACCCTTATTGAAGAGGACAATATGCACATATATTCAAGTTAAAAATGCTCATATATTTTGAAATAATATTATTATAATAGTTTTGCAAGTAGATAACGTTCATTTATTTTTTAAATTTAAATGGTATAATTACAATAAGATAAAAAATTAGGTAAATTATATAAAATAACCTTGTGGTTTGAGATAAATGTGAAGTGACATTTGAGGTTTAAAATATAACACTTATCTGTCTTATGATTTGTTTTATTACTTTTTTGCCTAACACCGTAATTTTTTTTACTATTTCCAAATATTTGCAGCTTCTGAGTTTTTTTGCATTCAACATTGGAAAGGGGAATGAACAGAGAAAAATAGCAATTAAAAGCAAGAAATTGTAGAAAAATTTATCTGCGATTAAAGATTTCTAGGGTTTTAGAATTGGTTTTATAATTTCTTTTTGGGTTTAGTTTAAGAGGCAATTCATCAACAAACTTAAAGTAGAAAGCAATTTGGGCATAATAATTAGTCTCAAAGATATATATATATATATATATATATAATAGCAATAGTTTGGGTATAAGAAGCAAAAAAAAAATCAAGCAACAGCAAGAATCAATAAACATTCAAGCAGAGTTCGCACTATAGCCCATACTAGCATCAATCCAATAGAGAGCTAAAATCAGAAAACACAAAAATAGCTAAATTTCTAGAATCAAGCAACCAACAAAAGAAAGCAAGCAATTTTCAATAAATCAAAGCAATACACAAATAATTTAGCACATTTGAACTCAAATGTTGCACACAACCAAGAAACTCATACACAATACCCATTAAATCCAAACCCAAAAATTGAACCCAAACCCGAATAAGCAAAAAAATCATAAAATAAAAATCCAACAAATCCATAATCAAAACATCCAATCATATAAACAATACACAAAAAATAAAAAATGGTTCATTTTGAATTTTTCGGATGCTATGAATCAATAGCTAGAAAGCTAATTGAGGGAATTAGATAAAGAAAAAAGTGTGAATTACAGGAGAAAAAAAAAACAAAAAGATATTTGTAAATAACAAAAAAAAGTTACGATTTTAAACAAAAAAATAATATAATAAATTATAAGATAGTTAAATATCACATTTTAAATCTTATAGGCCACTTTAAATCCTCCTCAAATTATAAGATGTTTTTAAAAATTTTACCCTAAAAAATTTATAATTTAATTTTATGCAATAAAAATATCAAATACTTATTTCTATTTCTTATAAAATTTAAAGATTTATTTATTACAGATCAAATTATAAATTTTGAAAGTTGAGTCAAAATAGAAATTCTTAAAAAATTAACTAATGAAATTTTGTTTATTTGTTTTTAAATTTATAAATGTTATATCAACAATGTCCCGTGAGAATCAACACGACATTAAATACTAACATGACAAAAAAATATTTTATCACATTTAAGTGATTAAATTGAAAAAATTAAAATTTAAGTGTATTTTAAAATGATCAATAAAGTTGGGTCGCTATTTAAGTATTTTATCCTTTTTTTTATTTATTTCATTCTTGGCTCTGCAAACGAAGAGGATGATCAGAAGCATTTAATCGAAAAATGGCATCCACATTGATTTCAACAACACAGGCCGAAAGCAAGTCAGTACAAATTGACCCAACACAGAGAGATTAAGCAACTGACACAGAGGAGACAGAGGCAATCAGCGAGCTAGCAATTCAACACATGCACAGGCAGCAAACAAAACAATCAGCAATGCTCGACAATCTCAGAAAATACAAAAGATTGAGCAACAACCACTAGCAAAAATCACAACAAAAAAGGTGAAATCGGCAGGAATGAAAAAAGGGAAGTTTGTTTGGGCTTTCTAATTCAGTTGCTACAGGCAAAGAAGGCAGCGGCTTCAAACGGTCGGGCAAAACCAGAATATTTGGCGCCTTCAAGCTTTGAAACGTTTCGAATTTCCTTCTTCTTGTAAGAGTTTCGGTCAGCGAGGAAAAAGGAAGAATAAAGTTCAGAGGAAATATAAGAGGGCTAACAGGAAGAAAGACGACGAACCAGGCATACCATCTTGGTGTTTGCGGCGCCGACAGCTTGTAGTGGAGCTAGGATTCTGGTTGGTTTCCTTAGAGAAGGACAGACGCTGCCAGCAAGGAAAATCGGCGACAACGCTGACGGCTGAAGGGCCGAGTTAGGGAGACACAAAGGGGCTGCTGCTTTGTTTTGCAGAAACAAGGAGAGAAAGAAAGGGAAATAGAAGCTTTGGGATTTGGGATTCTTCCCTTCTTCTTTACCAGCTGCCATAACCGCAGCACTTTGATCAGATAATAAACTCAACAAAAAAAAAAAAAATCAAAAGAAAGTGAGGAGTGGGACGGCACTTGACGTGATTGGTAAGAAGATTCCACTCGTGTTTCACATTTGGACCGTTTGAAGTTCGAAGTCGGATGTTAAAGCCTACATGTTGAGGCATTTCAAGTTTGTTTGTGCTTAAGGAACAAAGTGTTTTTATCCTATAAAGATTTAGAATATAAAAATTATTTTTTAATAATTGATATTTTTTATATTGCTGATAAATATTTTTTTGTTAATTTTTTTTAAAAAAAAAGTTTATGCAAAGAAAACTTGCAATGAATATGAATGAATCTACATTCTTTTTGGAAGTTCAAATATAACAAGTATGCAATTTTCATCAATCAAGCAAAAATACAAAAACTTGCTCAAATATTTGGAATGCTAAATTTAAAGCCAAACGAGCACACATCAAAACCCGATAAAGTTAGAAGCAAATATGTTGAATCTAAACTTTATAGATTGATTATTGGTTCATCACTTTACAATTAAATAGTATGTAATGTTAAGTACATGCTTTGATATGTGTTACATGCTTTGATATGTGCTTACTTTGATATGTTTTTAAGAGATATTCTTTGAATGCTTATATCAATATGGTTTAAAAAATATA